TATATATATATATATATATATATATATCATACGTATGTACAGATATTTGCACGAACGCATAAATACATATATATTTATCTATGCGTGTGTGTGCACACGTTGCTAAGGCAGACGCTACGGATAAACCGCGGACAATGAGGATTCACAACTCACCACCATGAACAAAAACCTTTTCAAAAACAACTGAGACATGGCAGCTCCTTTTAGGAGGCTTCTTCACTCCCCCAACAGCTGTCCACGTCCGAGCTCCAGGGTCATACAAACTTGCTGTAGCAACATCTCCCCCTGGGCCCCTTCCTCCGAACAAAAATATGTGTTCTCTATCTGAAGGTAAAATGCAACACTTTGGAAACATGTGTGTGACGTTCAGCATCTGCTCAGCAGACACCGCATTTCCCAGTTGTCATTGATTCTCACTGACTGCCAGGTAGGGGATAAGGCCATGTAGCTACAGGGAGCTAGGCAGCTCATCCGTAAAGACGCAGCAAACGAACGCAAGTCACAGTGAATGCGTTCAAGGGAAGATAACCCTAGGCGCACTTGTCGTGGGTTTCACCCAATTCACCATGGTCGCGCCTGTCCTCGGAGTAGGGATTTGGCCTCGAATTTTCTGGAGGCAGCGGAACGCATGAATGCACACAGCAGCAGCACGTGCAGGTTTTGTTCTTAATAACAAAATCCAGTGAGAATGAGAAACACGCTGTAACAGAGAAATCCCCAACACACTATCCACTGCACCACCACCATGTGGGGCGCTACTCTTTTCTTCCCTCAAAGTATCACAAAAACGCCACTAACAAATAGAGGAAGAACAAATGGGAATGAATATAGAGCTACCTGTGGAAGTTTATCTTCCCAGCGGACAAAACAAAACCTAAGAGGCATCCCTGCCGTGCGAAAGAGAGGCCAGGCATGAAGAAGGCGATGCTTAGTCACCGTAGAGATCAACGTAGAGAGAGAGAGATAGAGGGAGAGATAGAGGGAGACAGACCAATACCGAGGTACGTAGGTAGGTAGATAAATAGATAGATAGACAGACAGATAGATGAACAGATATATAGATAGACAGATAGATGTATAGTTGGGTTACAGTTCCTTTTTTGCTGAGTTTGCCGTCTGTCGACTATACAGACTTGGTAAAACAAATACCTTCATTGGTTCGAAGGCGTTGAGTCCGGGGATGTATCTGATGAAGTCGTTGAGGAACTGTCCATCTGCATCCTGTCCCCCGAAAATGAGTACATCTCCCCCGCCAGCTACGCAGGAGTGTCCTTGTCTTGGGAGGAAGCAGTGGCTGTCGTGAATGATCTGCGTCAGTTGAAAGGAAGGAGGAGAGAAGAAAGCAGTGTTGGGGCCAGTTCCTTCTGTGGCTTCATCTTCGTCTCCCTCGACACGCCGCGGCTGTGCCTTAGGCTTTTTAGAGGCACTCAGAGAATGGATTATTTTATCGCGGCCCAGCTTCAGATGCTGCTTTGCCTTCTGCATGCGCTCGCTGGATTTGCTGCTGCTATTGCTGCCGCGTCTCTCCCCGGCCTCTGTTGAACGAGGGGTGTCTTCACGGCTCTCCACAGAAAACGAATCGGAGGGGTCCCCGGAGGGCCCCACTTCTTCTCTCTGCTCCATAAAGGCTACTTAACTATAAACACCCTTTAATACTGCAGCTCGACGGCCAAGAAAAGCCAGTAAAAGCTCAAAGCAGCACGAGCACCCTGGTAATACATAAAAACTCAGAGGCAGAAAAGAGGCAATACAAAACAACAGCGCGCGAAGACAAAAAGGAAACGAAAATATGACCTCTTCGGAAAATAAGGTACAAATCTCGAAAAATAAAAAGGCTCCAGTGTTGCCCAAATACAGGCAGGCACCATTAAAAACGGAGAAAGCTCATGAAAATCCGAGCCACCACGGAATACGTTGTGCTACTCCTCCTTGAAGCAGCAGGCGAATCCATAACCAGGATGACACTACAAGTACTGTTGCCGCTTCTTCTCCTGACGCTTTTTCCCTACTCCTGCTTGCGCTAAGGATGCTGGTGCATGCGAGACCATCGAAGCCAGTGCAGCAATCCACATGCTGGCGGGAATGCCCTGCAAAATGTTAGCTGCAGACCCGCCTGCGAGCATGAAGGCTATCAGTGGTTGCCTGACCAGATGACAGTTGTGTTTAAGTATCTGCCTTGAGTTGCCCACGCTGCTGCTGACACTGCTGCAGTCTCCACGACGATAATGCGGGGTAATTGGCAGCTATGGCAACGAAGCATCCGTTGCCCCTAACTATACTGCAGTTGTCAATGAAGTGGGCATGACTACGGAACTCCCAACATCACATTCAGTATTGCCTGTTGAGGCTGTCAGCAACCGGAAATGCAGCTGCAGTCGCAGCAGGTGCTCTAGTGCGCTTTGGTAGTAAGATTCGTTAAATAAATCTAGGCATGAAGGGATTTTGCCTCAGTAGAACGGATACAGATGCGGCTGAAGCCGAGACAACTGCTGCTGCCCTCCTGCAGGGAGAAGAGTCTTCTTAGGATGGCATGTTTATCACCATTCAAGTGCTGCCGCGTTGCTGTTGAACTGCATGCAGTTGGAGACCGTGGATCGATGACGCTTCTAGAAGTGCGTGATTTTCATGCCTGAGAAGAGTTGTTCAAAGCGGTTTTCTTATCTGCTGCTTCCAGCGGGAGATGCCGCGGAGTGCTGCGGTTGGAACATGGAGCTTCCGTGGCTTCGCCAGCGATTTCATGGGCTCAATTGAGATGAAACCGAAAAGGCGGCAGCTGTGAAAAATTCAAAAAATGGGTGTTCTTCGCTGAAACGGGCAATTGCTGCCTCGCCCCTCGTGGCGGACGAACCAGGCCCGGGCCTCTACAAGGCGCCTGCCCCAGTGCATGCAGAGAAACGAAGGCGACAAGGCTGCAAATAACGGTTCAAGAATATTTCACTATTTCTCGTTTGCTTGAAACATTCAAGCCAAACTCAAGCTGCATAGGAGAGCTCTATGGCGCCCACACACTCACGCTTGCAACTGCTGGGAATGGCGAGCTCCAGTAACGACAACACTTGAACAAAGGCCACAGGGGACAATTTTAGTGCATTTGAAACGCGTGTTATAAAAGCTTTCATGCTCTTTAAACTTGTTGAGGCTTTTGCTGTGACTGTTTCATTCTACGGTTCAGTGTTCGCCTGTCATGGTCCGCAGGCCACGGACCGGAAGGTCAGTGAAGGTTAAGGTGCACGGACAATGAGAGTGAGCATATCCCTACCAGTAGGCCTCTTATTCTCGCTTCACGAATACAGGCTAGGTTTTCGCTGTGCCAAGGTGGTTGTTCTCCATTATAAGCCCTTTCATGCAGAAACATTTGCCATCGCAAAGCCCAGGCTTTCAGGCACCGGCTTGCCTTCCATACACACATGACGGTTGAACAATCACATTTTTGTGCAGATGCCGAAGCAAGCTTAAACTTCAAATATTAGCCTATTTGTCAGTTTTTGCATCAGAGCTCATTCTCCCGAGCAAAACTGGAAATGCAGATAGAGGATGCACCACCATCCCTCTACACAATCGGGTACAGCCCCCTGACCTAGGAAACGACAGTTACTACCCCATTTGGTGCCTGAGGCAAGCCTCTGACATATGTATAAATATCTCTGCATGGAAGGCCCTCTGCAGACTTGTACAGCAGCTTGGAGCAGATAGCCTAGTGGGTCTTCCTGTGTTAGATCCCCAGATTCGCGCGGGTAAAAAATTGTCCATTGTCCCACGTGTGATCGTCCGTTAAAAACGCATGTAGGCAGCAAAATATGGAGCAGAATCTGTGAATGTGCACTTGCTTCCTGCCCCTCAAAACGGCAAAAAGTGTACCGCGTAAACGATTTGGAAGACCCCTTGCGTACTTCAACAGTTGCAGCCATACGAGTTGTGATCATGTATACTGCAGCGTCAGACATTCGGGAATAAGTCTCCACTAACGGGGAAGCTTCACTTATGCCTAGGGATGATATTCCTTCACTTAGCGGTATCTGCGGTAGTCGTTGCATGGGGAAAATTTTGAAATGCTTCTTGACGGTGCCTTACCAAGTGTTTGAGGTTAGTAGCGTACTTGCTATTTTCTGTTGTGGCTTGAGGCAGGGCGGTAGCAAAGTGTGTCCCTGCAGTTTCATCTCCAAACTTTGCCGGTCTTCTTCCAATAATAAACGATCCGTGTACTTCCTCTGGGTGTGCATCAAACACGGCAAAGACTGCCTCGTCGGCACCTTGAAGGGCTGAGAGAGGGGCCCTGTTCCCTCCAGCCGGCGTTCGGCACCAGCCTGCCCACGCATGAACGGGTCAAAAAAGGCACAGTTTGGCGTCGTTAATAAGAGTCAAGAGAACCCTGGGACCTAGCTTTTGTTCTTTAATTCGAAAACGATTGCTGGAGGGTCTCTTTTCCTCGAGTGCCTCCTGGGGCATATTGAGGAGTTGCATTTCAAGCAGGTTCGATTTGTAGGGCCGCATGCACTATAGGCAACAGGGTGGAAGCCACTGAATTTGTGGATAGAGATCCTGTGCAATGCCGTCTCACCTGGAGAGAACGAACAAACTGTAATGCGTGCTCTGGGGTCCGGCGAGCTCAACTTCAGCTGATTTCCCATGCACTGCGCCAGCGCGATACGAGCGGCCTGTGTAGCGAACAAACAAACCCCCACAATAGCTAACCAGTGTCGCTTCTTAGAGGCTGGTGGGAAAGGTCAGCAAAGTAGGTCAACGGCATACTTGGGCAAAAGGGTAGGCCAAAACGTCATAAGCGCATCTTCCATTTGCGCCTGCAGCGCACATTTCCTCGAGGAAGCTTTGGAGAACTTCATCGATGTCCTGCGTGTACACGCCTTACACAGTGCGCAAGCCGTTGTTCAAAAACAAGGACGCGAAAGTACTGGGTGAAAACAGAATGTATATTATCTCAACTTCGTTAGATTTGAGCTAAAACTGCAGTGAGAGGTAACTCGCTTTATCGGATGTGCTTGCGCTGAACAACTTGGCAAAGGCATTTTCGTTCATCCACCTAATCGCAAGCTCTGCCAGGCTTGAAACACCAATGACGACGCGGCCCCCTGGAGCCATTAGCGGTATCAAAGCGAATATTGCCTGTACAATATTGGGCAGAAAAAGCACATCATACACCGTTTTCTGCAATGCGTACACGTACAATGCGCATGGGAACTTTGATAGAAACGGTGTTCAAGCTCATTGTAAACCCCTTACGGTGTATTGGGAGTTTGTAGCTGCCACCTGGTGAAATCGGGGTCGTGAACCTTGTGTCTACCTGTATGCGACTGTGGAAGCAAGAGTTCAATAACGCACAACTTTGGCTTCATAGTAGTCTTCTTTCAGGATGTAGCCCGTACTGCGCTTGCTACCCAATTCCTTGGTCGAAGGGAGAATGTCTGTGTTGGAACACCACAACAACAATTGTGGGTCATAATATGCAGCATCCTGTAGTCGACGTACAAGAGAATGAACTGTAGACAACCTCGATTCTGGAAGTTTAATTCAGGGTCGTAGGGGCCTCGTTGTTTGCATTTCATGATGTGCAACACACTCAAACCTGTGGAAACATTGCAGGAAACACGATGCTGTCCTGTCCCCTTACCCGAATTATTAATCACAACATCGACGCTCCCAAATTGCTCTTTAAGGTTCTTGAAGAAAGTAGTTCTGCTTCTGTCGTTACACGCATCCAGTTGATGAAATCCTACGCGGACTGTCGGGTGCCGTAGGTGCTCCAAGCTCCGCTGAGAGAGGCAGAGAGAAAAGTTACAAGAAGCCAGCGGGGTGACACGATGTTTCAAACTCAGCTGAGAGCGAGGGAGAGAGAAGAGTTACAAGAAGCTATGGGTGCTAACAAAAGACCTCAAAAGCCCATCTTGGGCTATCAGTGAACTTTTGCAGTTTTCCGACGAAATTGGAACAATGGTGACCTTTGCCCACCGTGCACCGCATGGCTTCTGTTCTGGTTCTATGGTACTTACTAAGCCTTTTTCTTCATCTTTTTCAGTTATAATGACTGCATGGGGGGTGTGACTTGGAGTTTTCGACAGGCGGTTGCACACGGCGCGCACTATATCCATCCCTAGACCAGTGGTGCAGCCGACAACAACAACTACGAAGCCCCTAGTCCTAACCTTCTTGAGCTCTTCTCTCTGTTTAAGTATAAAATTTAAAGCCAACCACGCCCACTTTGCGCTCAGGAGAAAAGCCATTGTAGAAGAGTGCACCTGGAAGCCGACGCAACAAGCCGGGCCCACAAGATACGGCCTCGTGATCCAGGGTGAGGAAGACGCCACCAGAAAGATGCTCAGTCGAGTGGTTTAGTAGCCAAGTAAGACTATATAAAGCGGAAAATGCTGGCGTTGTCCCACCGAGTTCCGTCGTTCTAGGCTTGTTGCTCAGGCCTGGCGACCCCTAGGAAGGCAAAATTGTCGTTAGTGGCCACACCCACCTAGCGCTGTTCTCTTCTTGGTGCCACCAGAATTTTAAAGCCCAGTTAGGTGTTAAAGTCCATTTTAACCGTGAATGAAGCCGAACTATGCGGGGATTTTCCTCGCCAGAAGGGCTCATGTCATCTAGCGATGGTGAGCCTAGCAGTACAGTCCCACTTGAAGAACCATTTGGTACGCCCGCTGGTTCCTGCTGTAAATGAAGAACCCGTCTTTGCTCATCAGTAGAAAGCCCCTTGTATTTCGCAGAAACAGTGTACTGCTAATTCAACAACGCATGCCTTAACCCTGCCTGCAGTGAGTGTTGAACGATAACACTACAGTCACCTCGGGGAGGGTAGCCCTCCCCGAATTGGGAGAAACTACTCTACTTGGCCAAAATAAATTGCCTTATTTTGTGAAGCTTTGCTAAACTTTTCTGCAGCCCCCAACCACCTAAGAGAGATGGAAGTCGTCCGTCTGTAGCACACTACCGGTCCTGGAACTCTATAGCAGCTGCTTCTCCCTTGAGGTCTTCACTGTTGAATAGCGTCTTGGGATATCTGTATCTTCTGCTGAAACTTTTTCGTCGGCATGTTCGACGTGCAATAGCTAGCACAGCATGAGAACTGAAATAACTCACATCCCAATGGCCTCAACCGTAAAAGCATAGAAGCAAAGCTAGTTCACTCCGTACACAGCGCAGGCACTATATCGCCTAGCTGTGGTGCTTAAAACACTACAGTCTCAGCCGAAATAGTTGTCACACGGGGAACGCCTCTTCCTCTAGAGGGTTAAGCCTGTGGAGGAAGCTCTTCGCATGCGTCGAAAGCTTTGCAATGCCAATCCAACAATAGATGCCTGACTACTACTGCTCAGCATGGGCCCATGAGAGATTAGACCTATAGGCTAGAGCAAAGTCTCTTGCGTGAAGCGGCTCACACCATTCCGTCCAAGTAGTGCGTGCGCTAGCGGTGGCCCTACTTCATCAGTAGGAGCTACTAACGAAGACTGAGCAGTGGCCCTTCAGTGTCGAGACTAAGACAACGCTCAGCCAGGTGGGCGCTACCGCGGCTTGCTATTGTATCATTGCCTCAACTGCTCAGGAGGACGGGCCATTCCTCTCTTCATAAGCCGGCCTTGTCTAGAAGCTGCAGGAGCTCTTGGAGTTGTGTTCTGCGGCAAGAACAGCCAACAAACGCGCATCGAGAACTCTCTGCAATAACACGAAATATCAAGGGGTTAGTGTCAATACGCGCAGGCAGCCCTGGGATTGCCGAGCCTAAGAGTGAACAAGCACCGTTCCAAGAGTGGCACTAATGATTACGCACTTATTCGCGCGGATAGCAACAGCATCCTGGCCATTCTTCCTTGCTTGTACTGCTGCCCCATGGCTGGTGACTTCCACAAGAAGCTCCTTCAGCTTCAGTTTGCTTAAAGAAAGAGAACTGCCACTTGCCTCCTTCCCGAGGTCGGCGAGACTGACTATTGGCGACTCATTTCTGAACCATCACAGCATGATGACAGCCGTTTCATGGTAATGAATCGAGGTGGAGAACTAGCCATATCTCCCCAAAGGATAGACACTGTCAGCGCTTGTGTGTCTATGCACTGTGCATAATGACTTTATGCAGGTAAACTAAAAGTCTGCTGGTCTATGCTCCCTTGAAACCTGCCCTCAAGACCCCACACCCTGTAATCTCGATACCTCCCGATCTGAGCCAGCTGCAACTCCGCGATGCATTTGAGGAGCCGCTTGTGGTTCGTCGTTAAGCCGCGCATCACAACTTCAAAGTTGACGCTATTACAGCTGCTTCCAACGCCCTGGACGCGGCTGGCTGCCCACAACCATCCCGGGACAAAGCCACACATGGAGCCCCACTGGCTGAGTACCTCCTCCCTGCAGATTCGACTCGATACACACAAAGCATCAACCCATCGGTATGAAACCAAATGAAGAAACTGTTTCGTCATTTTTGTGTATTGTAGCAGACGACAGCCAGTCTAACATGTCTGGCTTTCCAAGAGATGCACTTGGCATCCTGGAGCCTGTTCTTCCGTGCCAGTTCTTCCGTGTGAAGCGACAAGTCTGTCTAGGAAGGGGGTTGAACACTACCAGCATCAGAATGAGCCGGAAGCGTTCGCTGGAGGCTGCATGCACCACGTCACACCTGTAATCACGCCGTGTATGGGCTGTCTCAAACACAAAGCGAAAATCGCGCAGCTCCGCCGCATCCAAAAGAACTGCATGCAATATGTGGTCAGCGCTGCAGATGAGGCGGATCTGAATCAAGCCCCAGAAACGGCACATGCATAATAGGCAGGAATAATGTGGCCATTATGTTGGCGGAGGGTAGAGTCATACAGGGAATTGACTTGCTTGCAATGAAGAAAACAAAACGCAGAAGAACGCAGAGCGCAGCAGATGATACTTGCCTTATCACAAGACGCGAGTGTCGCGAGGTGCCGACGAGTATCCGTAAGCGCCGAACTTTCGAAGCCAATAACGACGAGATATAGAGGGAAAGAAGACAGCCTCAGCAACGACTTAAGCTCCTGCAACGCGACCGCAACCCATTCTGGCAGACAACACAGCTTATTTAAGTAGCTGTGTACAAGCAACGCCTGCTTCACGAGCTAAGGGGACCTCAATATAAACATTATCAGCCCTCACCTTAACAAGCCTCTCGCAGCAGGAGCTGCTCCCTCCTGCAGGCTGCGAAGCAGCAATGGTAGCTGCTGCTGCTGCTGTGTATTTCGTCTGCGTGCGAAGGTGGCCGCGGATAACCTGCCCAGCTGCTTGTAGAGCCTGGTGGAGTTTAAACTCGCGTTGATAGGCATTAAGAACGAAGCAAAAGCCGTCCCTGTGCGTCAACACCCAATGGACACAGTTTGCGCTCTGTATTGAGGCCTAGATGATTGCCGTGCCACAGCAAACGTAACAGTCTGTGTGCGTGCGTGTCCACCCTGCACTACTGTTTCGATTGTACTATCCTATAGTTGAAGATATATGTCGGGAAATTGAACGACAGTTCAGTACCTCAGGTGCGAGCTGGCGAACTCGCGCAACAAACGCCCTTTGCTGCCGCATCCCGCAACCAGGATGTTCCAACCGCTCATCAGAAGGCACCTCCATCGCACCCCCAACAGTTGCAACTGCAGTAGCACAGAATCCGGGAAAAGCGAGATGTAACGGAGGGCCTGAATCTACGCTGATAGTCACCGATGGAAGAGGCTGGAAGGGCAGAACAGCTTCCTCAAGCCTCTGCTGTAGTGTAGACAGCCTTCACAGTGTCATTCACTTTGCCTCACTTGTTCCTTCATTAGGCACTCCTTCGTTAGGCCGTTTTGCTCGGGCAGATTCAAAACGCCTTCTTGCAGCTGTCGTATCGGATGTAGCCCTGTAACAAGAAGCGGCACTCAGGAAACAGCCGAACGCTTACTTCCACTCAAAACAGCAGTAAGCACCGTGAGGTGCGTGAGTGAGGCTTACGGCGACAAATCAAATATTGGGATGTAACACCACCGTACCTGGGTCTCCAAATACTTCCAACGGAGCAATATCGGGATGTTTCTCCTGGGTGGGGTCGCTGCTACTCGTGCTGCCTCGCTCTGCGTGCGTCGCGTGTCCTGTATGCGTGTCTGCTTGAGCCCCCTTCTTGAGGCTTTGTCCTTCCTTGGCGGGAGATTTCTGCTGCTTGATCTTGCTGATGAAGCTAAGCAGACAAGCGGGCAGACTAACAGGCGAGCTGGGTGCAGGTACGCTCGAACAAAACAACAAATCGTAGGCGGCCAGAAGCACCGGATTATCCTCATCCTCCATGAGTCGCGGATTTTCAAGAGGCGAAACAGCTGCGGCTGTCTCTGGGTTAAAGGCACTTCTGCATAAACAGAACAAGTCCACAACGCATCCAAACACGCTGTAGCTTGTATACAAGCGCCTATGTATACACTTCGTAGGAATAGCTATACAACACAATTCGCAAACAACAGCCACAGTGTTCTCAGTGTTCTCAGTATGCAAGCCCTAGTATGCGCTGCTGTTCACTGGGGGCTTTTCAACGACAATAACTACGATCCAATTGCCCTCTAGATTTGTTTCTTTGACTCCCTACCTCTGGTACCCTTTCTGGTCTACAGTTGGCACGCATCCACCCTCCTCTTCCTCTGCTCCTTCTTCCCCGCTGCTGCTGCTGCTGCTGCTGCTATCCTCCCCTAATTCGCAGCCTTTCGTTCGCTTCCGCCTTTGTCTTCTAGTGCTGTGTGCCGCATTCAATACACATGAGCTATGGTGGGCACAATAATATTATATCTGTAAAGGTTTCCATATAAGGCGGGCAAGTAAGAAACATCCAAACGTACTTAAGAATGCACTCGTGAAGCGAGGAAGACAAATTGAAGACACTTTCAGAGCTAACTCTTGGGCATCCAACCCCATTATGCTTTTATATACGCACCAACAAGTTCAGAAGAGGACGGTCAAGGAAACTAAGGGGTTGGGCCATCTTCTTACCCAAACTGGAGCCGTCGCGAGTGAGCGTCTGCAAGCCGCTGCAGTTGATGCAGGCGTTCTTTGTGCTGTCTATTTGACCACTGCAGCAGGCGGCGGGCTCTGTCCGCACCTCGAAAGCAAGAAACATTGTAGTTGGCTGCTGCTAGGTTAACCCCCAACTCCACCGGCAGAGTCAGACGCAAGTTGCTGCTTCGGCCCGCCTCGGGCTCCAACAGCGGCCTGAAACGACCAAATTGGCGCACAAGCCAAGCAGCATCTCCCTCCCCGAAGGCAGAAACCTCAACGCTGCCTTCACTGTGTCTCGCAGAAGGTATTGGGGCCATAACTTAGAGATGTGGCGTTGTACAACTGTCCTCCCGGCAGAAAGACAGTTGGGCTGAAGACACCAGCTTTGCAAGAGTGATTGTGTGACCGCGTTAGTGAAACGCAAAAGAAACTCAGTGCAGGCCCCGCGTTCAAGCACAGCAGGAAAAGCAAAAAACCTCTTCAGAACCGCTGGGCTTGTCGTCGGAAGGCAACTTCAAAGCCGGAGAAGAACGGGTGCTGCCACGTGAAACCGGCAAAACTAACGCATGACTTAATGCAGTTTAAGGGGTTCCACCGAGTTAAAAAGGCAAATACCTGAGACGTGCATGTGAACATATCAATATTCATATTTTCAGTCGGCAGCCGTTGCATGTTGAGGCGTCGCCCGGTGGGGTCGTTCGCATGCAATAGTCTGTCTGTCGGCTGTTCTCGCTCTGTAGTGCGGAGGCACTACAATGTGTCTCAGTTGTGACCTCTAGCGGCTTTATGATTGTTAAGGGAAAAAATATTAAGGATCTTAGGGACTAGGCCATTATTAGTTAGGAAAAGGAATTAGTACTACTAATTGTTCTAGGGAAGTGGATACCATAGGTGAAGTCATAGATAGTACGATTAGTTAGCCAGTTATTCACGCCTGCCTTCTAGTGCAGTGCTTAGTCACTACTTCCGGTACCACCAGATAGGACTTCTAGAGGTGTGAAAAATGGGAAAGAAGTAGGAACTATTATGTCAGTGAATATGGCTTTTTTGTATGGATAACAGCTTTGTAGGTCAGACACCTGACCGTGTTGTCGCTGCTCCATTATTTCCCCGCTATTGTATGGGTTGGGCACTGATCCCCAGTGGAGACCGGGGGTCAGTTCTAATTATTCTTGTCAGTTAGTTCTAGTATTATGGGAACTTCCCTTGTTAATAATGGAGACTCGAACATGTTTTTGGAACTTCAAGTATGGGAATTTGGGTAGTTAGGTTGTAGTTAGGAAGCCCGGCACTACGAGATAAGTAGGCACAGGATATCAAGCGGGAGTAACTGTCGGGTCAGTTGCCGGTACCAGGGACGCGACTATATCTGGCGCGGGCTTGTCGGTGTCTGGGGACGGGGCGGCAGCGCTGGATGAAGAAGCGTGGCAGGCGTCGGCTACTTGATTGCGTACTCCTGGCAGATAAGTAATCGTAAGATCAGGGAATTCTGCGAGGAAATCTAGCCAATGGGCAGTAAGGCCGCGTAGGAGTTTAGAGGCCTTGAGCTGCTGGAGGTATGTGAGGGCCTGGTGATCAGTAAAGGCCGTCACTGGATATCCGTAGTAGATGGGCCCATTTAGCGAGGGCAGAAACAAGCTCCAGAAGTTCTTGATCATAGACGGAGTATCTTGCCTGGGTTGGGGTCATCACGCGGCTCACGAATCCTATGGGTTGGCCTTCCTGCTCTAGGACGGTACCCACGGCATACCCCGAAGCGTCAACGGCTTCCAGCTGTCGGGAACCGGTAAAACATGTAGTCAACGAGACGCTGTTTCAGCCTACTCACCGCGAGCGTATGCTCAGACCATTGGAAGGTGGCCCCCTTCCGAGGGAGGTCCACAAGCAGTCGGACAGCCGTTGCAAACTCAGGCCATGCCCTTATTGCCTGAAACTTTGTCGGCGGCAGGTTTTGTCCAAGTCTCTCAATCAGAATCCCGCTGGTCTATTACAGCAGTTGATGATTCCTTCATGACGCTGGAGTCATGTCATCTTAGATTTCATCACTGATCTACCTCTCACAACTTCAGGGAATGATACCATTGTGGTCCTTGTGGGCTCTCTTAGCAAAATGGCACATTTCATTCCTGCTAAGAAATCTCGTACGGCAGCTAACACCTTTAAGATACTCGCAGACAGGTTAATCCGGTACCACGGATTCCCGGATGCGCCTATCTCGGACAGGGACTCCCGATTTTAGTCCGAAGTGTGGTCACAATTATCCTCCCGCTTTAGCATCACCAGAGCTATGTAATCGCCATACTGCCCACAGAAGGATGGACAGACGGAGAAGGTCAATCGTACTCTCGAGGAAATGTTGCGCACATATAACCAGGCGGATGAGCGTGACTGGGAAAGGCTTCTACCTTCCTTGGAGCCCGCCTACAATACCACGCACCACACCAACACAGAGCTTTCTCCATTCGAGGTCATGATTGGAGGAAACCTGGTCACGGCGGCTGATCTTGACATCCTTGGCACCTTTTCCCCCACGCTCTCATCCCCGATGACTAGGCTTTTCCGACAGCTCTGTGACCGCGCACGTGGACATATCCTGAAGGCGAATTGGGGGCAGAAGTTCTATGCGGATTCCAAGCGCCGGAGCGTTGAGTACGAGGTAGGCGACAGGGCAGGGCTCAGCGCCAAACACCTCTTAGTACTGAATCATTGCCCCAAGTTTGAGCCCCGCTACCAAGACCCCTTCACAATAACTGAACGTATAGTGAACATGGCCTACAGCATTGCTCTGCCCCCCACCTACGAGGGACACAACTTCTTCCCCGTCTGTCAGCTGGCCCTCCACCGTCCGCGGTGGGATGCCCAGGTACAGCGGGAAGCCCCGGTGGGCTGGCCACCTATCTGCGACGAAGCCGGCAAACCAACTGACCAATTTCTCGTGAACCACATTCTCGATCAGCAGGGAATGGGGGAGTTCGCTGGTTACCTCGTTAAATGGGGAGGCGCCCCCGAAGAGCGGGCTCCATGGGAACCAGCACACCACGTTGAAGGTTGTCCAGCATTAGTACGTGCTTGGAAGCGGCGCGGGCATAAACAGCTACGGGATCAACGATATCAGACCCGCTCGCCTGCTTCTGACCCTCCTTCCTCCCCCTCTTAATCCCCGTGTAGGTGTTGTAGCCTCCTTGCTGTACCAACGGGGGGGAGAGGCTGTCTGCGCACCCTGTTGGTGCTCTATATGCTGTTATCCTGTTGGTGCTTTATATGCGTTTCCTTAGCATAGGCCAGTTACATAGTAGCCAGTGTTGCTGGAGGCTAGCAGTAGACGACGTCTAGCCTATCAGTGTTTCTAGGGTCTTGTGGGGTACAGATTTACAGTAGTCAGCGTTTCCATACACTTGCAGTACACAAATAGTAGGAGAAAAACAGTAAACTAAGGTAGCTTCACTAGAGAAGCGGTAATAGTTGTGGAATCTGTAATAGTAGTCGCAATTAGGAAAGAAGCAGGTGCCAGCACAACTAGTAGGTGTCAGTCATATTGTCCATAGGAGTTAGTGTCTCAAGCATAGGGGCATCCCATATACTCAGTAGTGGCCTGTCTTCTTAGTGTATAGCAGAGCTATTGCAAGAGCTGCGCGGAAGGCAGTTCGCGTGTGTATAAAACATGGCGAACTCCGACATTGTGGAGTGTGATCCTATTGACCTTCTCCGTTCAGTTTGTTAGATGAAATCGGGAGAAAGACCCCCCAAGAAGCAGTATAATATTTTCTCTAGGTATATCTGTTAGAATGTCATCGAATATAATGAAGCTATGAATGTGATTCTGGTATTACAATGCATGGCCGAGGAACTTTTGTTGGTGACCATGTTAAGGGGCTTGAAATCGATGCGCACTCGCCACATGCATTGAACATCCATCGATTTATCTCCCCACTGGTAGCTCATTGTTAGAAATGCCCCGACGGCGGAATGTATGCGTTCCTCCTCCGTCCGCCCCAGCATAGGAGCCTCTTCCCTACCTTCTTTTTTTGACACTGATTCAAGTCGTCTAACCGTAGAAGCTGCAAATGAAGTTGGAATGGCCGGGATGTGTAGTCTTTCTCCGCTTACCGAAACGCGCACTTAAATGCTGTGTTTAGGTTTGTGCATCTGCATCTCCACTGTCTCACCAACGGCAAGCCGAGGAGAGTGACCTGATGGACAGGTGCAAATTAGAACTCCCTAAGCATGGAAATATGACATATTTGTTCTTTAGTATCTCGCGTGATCTTTATGTAATGCCCCACATCGTGCGTCATTAGTACTATACGCAGAGTGTAACCACAGAGAGTGTGTAGAAGAATGCATTCAAATGTATATCCTCGCACTATCTTCAGGTTCACTTCACAACCTGTGTAGACCAGCGGTGACGACGCCTGTCGGTAAATGCACACTACGATAAGGACAGAGTTAACTCATAGACTTCTGATAGGGTGGTAGGTTTCGTTTTTTTTTTCATTCTTCGGTGCGTTGGTTTTCCATAATCTTTGCGAGCTCAATTCCTTCGAATGCCAGCTTGCTCTCAGCTTCTCTGCTGTCCTTTTTCCGGAAGAACAGGAACCGTGTTCTCCGTTCTACCTTTTCTAATCAACGGTGGATATTTCTCCACATCATGCTATATCGATCGCTTCATATGTGTGCACTTTCCAAAGTCTGCCGTAGCCTCTTCCCGTGTCGAGCTAGAATTGGCATTGGCCTACATCGGAAAGCTTGCCAGAAAGCATTCATATTTTGCATGTGCTCCGAGAAAGCACTAGCCCTGCTGAGATAAACCCACCATTGTCGTGTTTCCCCCTTCAATAGGAAAGCTGAAAACACCAACTGCATTCCTCCTGTTGTTTGAGCCAAAAGCCAGGCAGAGACAAGAGACTCGTGCACCTCCAATGCACAGCGGATACCGTCAAATATGGATAGCTGGGAGAGGTGCAGACATCCTTCAACTTCTGCACATAATCTAAGATTAACTGTTCTTACAGCGGAGAAGAGTTCTTGGTGTTGATTCAGCTCAATGAGGCCTCAAACCCTTGGTTGATAGCCTAGCAGAGGGCATTATCCTGGTCAGTATCTATTTTGCAAGAGAAGCAAAATGTTGACATTTAACAAAGCTTTTGGGCGATTTCGAGAGTCTTTTTGCATGTATGCATGCTTTTAGCCCAATCGGCACTATTTATGGTTATGCACCGTTCCGCTGTGTTCTGGAATGAGGCTCATTGTTCACATCAGCGCCTCGGAAAACACGCGATGCTACCAAGTCTATCTCGGCTCCCTGGTTCTTATCCAGTGACAATAATGAGCCGCACTCTGGAGTAGAAATACTTAAGACGAGAGTTCCTTAAATGCAACTGGCATCTCTCCGCACTGTACAGGCGTGTTGCGCTTCGCCGATTAAGCGCATGTAATTTCGGGAGGGGAGCTGGGCGGCCATGATATGCAACATAGCGAGTCATAACATGCACCGCAGGCCCCCACACAAGCAAGATCACGCCTTCGTTGCTTTATCCATGAACATTGTATTTAGGACATACGGGCCAGCATCATAGAGAGTATCTACACGCTAAGGCCTATAGGTTTTACAACTATTGAATTGTGTCCACGCTTGAACAGTTGTCAGTCTGACGGCAATTACAATTACACAAAAATACACGAACCAACTTAACAGCGAATGCCTCATGGGCAGCCCCATCCCCTTCCACAGCGAGTGGGAAGTTTATGCCTTCTCAACGGATAAAGCTTGAGGAGGCCTACGCCAGCCTCAATGTCTTGCGCAAGGCCCAAATGAACTATCAACCCTTGGAATGCTCAAGGGATTCCCGAGTACGGTTGCGGAAGAATGCGGGGAGTGGGGGGGGGAGGCGGGACAGACAGAGAGAGGGCACGCCAAGCATCTCAGCCCGTGTCCTGCTATTGTTTGTTTGTGTAACTGGGGTTTATTGGGCTGCATTTCATGCTTCATACCTTAATAATCGAGATAGAATTATAGGAACAAGGATGTTAATAAAGATTAGTGCAAAGAGGTCGGCACCAATGCACGCAACCCAGGACTGGCCGCCTATACCGTCGAGAAGGGATGAGTGGAAGAGACCCTGTAGAAGACAACATCTTGAGGCTTAAACCCGTTTGGTTGTATTCCGAAGCACTATATGTGGCCCAATCCAACTTTGAACAATATTTTAACAGTAGACTAATATTATTTTCGCCTAGCCATCGTCGTAGAAGACTGGGAAGGGGCCACCTCTTGTTCCGAGGCCCTGCTTGTCTGTGTGTTCCATGAACACTGCTGCGCAGTGCCACGCCTGCTACATCCTGCAGCCATCGTTCCTGCTGTTTCAATTGCTTCATTTAATTGAAAGTTGAAGTTGAGCAGCAGAAAATTTGCCACGTTGACTTCTTTTTGGCTGTGACAGAGTCGCAGACCGTGCAGATGCAGCTACAGCCCACCTCCTCCTGACGCGAGCACAGTTGGTGGTTTGTTGGTTGGTGGTTTTTTGATGTAATGCAACAGAACCTGTGAAGCAAGTCTTCTATTTTCTCTTGGACGTGCGGCTATAACCTCCTCTCCACAATGGCGGCCTTCCGCCGGGCAGTGCCTCTCCTTGTGGCCTTCGTTGTGGTGGCGTTCTTCTCCTTGGGCCCTACCCCACATCACTTTGGCTGTCTACAAACCCAAGCTCGTGCTTCAACCGGTCGGGCGGTGAGTATTGGGGCGCTGCAGCCGCATCCGCAGTTGCCCCTGCGGCTACATTTCCCCTGAACTCTGCGTCTCCACTGCCGCATCCCACTTCTCTAGATACATAGCTGACTGTACTTGCATGTTCTCACAGCACAGGAGCTTTCTGTGCATGGAGTGAATGCTCTGTGTTGAGGTTTTTGCTTGCATCCGTGCAGGGCAAGGGCCCCGTCCGGATTATGAGGAAAACAGCCTCGTATCCGAAACCGAAAACGCCGACGCAGCCTGTTCGCCGCAGCGTACCGCTGCAACCACTTCCCAAGCAGCAGCCTCCCGCTGTACAGACACAACCACCTGCTGTATACCAGGGCCCCCGCTTCAGTGCCTCTGGGGCCCCTGCAGCACACCCAACCCAGCCTGCTCGCACTCCGCCTGTGCAGGCCCCTGCTGCTACAGCAACGGGACCTCAGCTGACAGCCCCGCCGGCGCATGCCCAGGGCTCAACCCAGACTTCTCACCCTCCCACAGCAGCCCCATGGGGGGCGCCTCAGCAACAATCCTCTTCATCCTCTTCAGCATTTGCAGATGCAAAGGGCCCACAGCAGCCTGCCACAAACACACCAGCAGCAGTAGGGCTGCCCGCCAATGCAACAACTCAAAGGGGACCTAATCAGTCAACAGCACCAACACCATCAGCGGGAACTGGGGACCGTCAGCAGCAGGCTGCCACACCGATGACAGCTGCAGCAGGGGCAACCCAGCAGCCGGCGAATCTTACGCATGCTGCTGTAGGGGACCCGCAGAAGCCTACTGCTGCCCAGCAACCTGTTGCTACTCAGCAGCAGACTGGGGCTGCGCAGCAGCCTCCAGCGGGTGCATTTACTGCTCCCACCTCGTCGAATCCCCCCTTCCACGCCCCTGCGAGTGGTTACCATCAGCAACCGCTTGCTCCTGCTGCTTCTCCATCTTACCCGTTTAGTGGCCAACAGCACGCAGGCTACGCTTATGGCCAGCAGGCAGCCCATCCACCCGTTGGGGGTCAGGGCTTCCCCCCACCTTCGGGTGTGCCTGCTACTTATATGCATGCGCCGGGGCACACCCCGGCAGCGGCTTCCTCAGCCCCACCAGTAGCCCCTTCTGCAGCACAGGCAAGTACGGGCCCCTCTCTCACGCGCACAGCTATCACTTCAGCTGTAGGTGCTGCAGTGGGGAGTATGGTGGGCTCCGCAGTAACAAACTCCATGATGCGCCACTCAGCCGGCTCTAAGGAAGGGGCCCCAGCAACACCTGCCCCTGCTGCAGGTGCTAGCGACAGCAGCAGCAACAACAACAACAGCAGCAGCGACGCAAGCAGCAGCGGCAGTGACACGAGCAGTAGCGGCAGCGACGCAAGCAGCAGCGGCAGCGACGCAAGCAGCAGCGGCACACCCACGGCATCTGCTGCAGCAAGTGGTGGTGCCACAGCTCAGGAGCAGCTGCTCGCACCGCAGGACAAGCAGGTGAGTCTTCCTCTTTTCTTTTTAGGAGTCGGAAACGACGAATTAGAGAACAGCGTTAAAGGGCCCCAAGCCTTCGGCCAACAAGTGCAGGACGCCGTAGTGCAGGCGCTGGGGGTTCCTAGCACCCGCGTCATGCTCGAGGAGGTGTCCGTGAAAAAAGGCCTCATCAGCAGCACCGGCGTCGCCAACACCAGCGGAAGAGGCAACGAAAGCGGCAGCAGCGGCAGCGATGGCACCAGCGGCAGCAAACAACTTTCAGATGTTACTGTGCGTCTCAGCGTTCTCCCCGTCCCAACCGTGGGATCTTTGGAGCCTACAGCCGGGGACTTGGCCGCAGAAGTGAAGCGACAGCTAGACCAGCCGGCTAGCTACCTTTCACGATTGCTCCGTTCAGCGTTCTCTGAACTGCCTGCGCCAGTTACAGAAGATTCAGAGGCATTTCTGGATGCTGCTGCAGGGGGGGGAAGGGTGAGGACTGCTGCAGCAGCAGCGAAGACGGCAGAGAATGCTGCAGCACCAGCAGGCTCGCCTCAAGGTGCAGCAGCAGGCCTGCCCTGTTTGTTGTTGCTACTGGGGAGCACCGTTTTCCTGTGGATATAACAGAGCTAAGAAGGAAAAGAATATGCATGGGTTGCCCCATTCATGCGCCGCCTCTATCTCTTGAAAGGGGAGGCTCTTCAGTTCTGGTTCAGTGCAGGTGCCGCCCTGCAGGCACTTTCAAAACGATCAACCAGCCCACAGACTGAGAGGCAGCTCGCCCTTCATTATAGGGCTCCCACGAGCAGTAGCTGTAGTAGCTGCTGTTACTGCACTCGGGCCGACGCTAGCCCGAGAGGAAGAAGATGTTGAATTTCTGTCTCTGTACAGTGTGCCCCTCTTCCAGAGATATATCTGCCATCTACCCGCAGCTCTCCTTTTGCCTTGCTTCTCTGATAATCTCTCCGCATGCAGCTATTGCATGCACTGCGTGTGCAGTTCCGTTCGGTCAGATGCGTGTGATGGATGGGATCGTGAGCGATGCACACCGCTCGAAACTGGCTGCATATGCGTGCTTGCGATTATCTGTGTATTTGTCAGTAGTGACCTAGTGCCTCTGAGACGGCTGTCTTGTTTAAACCGCAGCGGCTCTCCTTCCCCCAGCTGCGCTGTCAGTACAGCCCACGTCAGATGCGACCATTGCTTCTTTGTCGGCCAAATGCCAGCTAGCTAGCTGCCTGACGGGCGGCAGCGCAGTCTAAAGTCTTCTCTGTAGACAGAGGCCAGCAAACTAGGTAGCCAACCATTGTCTAGCCAGTTAGGTAGCAAGCAAGCTAGCATGTGGCCAGCTATTCAGCTATGGCAGGTAGTTGCACTGCAGCCTTTTCTGCGCATCAGCACAGGTAGAGCTCCAGAAGGATGCAGGCTGCTTCCCCACCCTCAATCTGTCTGCTACCTCTTCCCCCCTTCGGATGCTGCTTCTCAGCTCGTGTTTCTTCTCAGTCATCCCCCGGCTGTGGTCTCTGCCTATACCATGCATATGTCTCCTCTCCGGTTGACTGCAGACGCACCAGATCCGCTTGCATGCATCTGCTCTGAGACAGTTGAATTATTCCAGCCTAGGCTGCAAATATGTCGTCGATGTCGTCGACAGGCACCGCCTGGGCTTTGCTCTTCTTTAGGTCCTGGAGGCACTTCTGCCGCATGGCCTCGTTGAGAGATCCATCAGGCAGCACATCTTGCCTTTGATAAAACTGAATGTACGACTCTGCAAAAAGACCCACAACGAACAACTATTTGCCCTCTTTGTTGTCCGTTGTCACCAGGCACAAGAGCATTGGATTCCAAAACATCGAAAACATCGCAAAGAAGTCGCTGCAAGTATGAAGAAAAACAAAAACAAACGCGAAAAACATAAGCAACCCCTACCTGATAGCGCCACAAACTGAGGAAGTACGGGGGTTACACGCAAGTCTTCCATTTCGTGCCATTCGTTTGTTGGCTGCAGACAAACAAAACAGTGCAACAAGCACACGTGGAAGAGAATGAAGGAAATAGTGCGAATACAATATACCCCAATATGTCTGGAGGAAAATACTAATTGTTCTGTCAAAATACATATGCATATATATCCCCGTACGGGGGAGAATACTACACGATAAAAACTATCTCCAGCGGCGCAAATATGCAAGGTATCGTTTAAGCCTCATACATTTTTGTCTGCGTCACCATTTACAGTGAGAACTATTCATCAAGATCTCTGTCTTCATCTATATGTGAAACTACTCAACATTTTCCCCAGTAAATGTTGAGCAGTTTCACATATGGATGAAGGCAAATCGTACTATATATATATATATATATATATATATA